TCTCGTCAAGAAAGCATTGTAAATGCTTTCCTATGCGGCAAGACTGAATCGCGCGGCCGCTGTACGCAGCGGCGCGCGCATTCCAGCCCAGGAGAAACGAGGAGGGAGAGAGGAGGAGAGCTCCCCGCCCAGAGCTGGAAAAAGGTAAGTTTTTAACCCTTTCCCCTTCCAGAGCTGGGCGGGAGGGGGTCCCTGAGGGTGGGGGCACCCTCAGGGCACTATAGTGCCAGGAAAACGAGTATGTTTTCCTGGCACTATAGTGGTCCTTTAACCTCATCGTGAACAGGAAATGACACAACGGACATCCATTACACACCATCCTGGATACTAAGATCGTTTACAGCAACGGCCGCATGAACCCGGAAGTGCAATCTGACTTTGGGATGTCGTTTGTCAGACTGCATCAAGACGGATCAAATTATCAGCTGGAGCACTACACACTCCCTCCGAACAACGCTCGTGATTGGTAGTATCGCTGGCGTTGTTAGACCAATTAAGAGATTTGGATGGGTATTTAAACCCGGAAGCAGCAGCAGTTGGGACACCGATTGAGAAAGTCAGGCTGGCGAAACATGTCTCAGACTCCAAATAAAGCAGATATGTTTTTCAGCTTATACCTATATTTATTTTGTTTGTTTAATAAATTGCATTTGACCTGGAAATGTTGTTCTGTGGAGTATTCAACATTGTTGCTGCCAAAGAAGGGTTGCATCTCATTTAATTGATACATTTGCTGTTATACTAGGTGCCAGATTCTAAGGCACCTAAGAAGGTGAAAGGCCACTGTGTGTTTTTACTCACTCCTGTATTTTAAGAGTTGATGCACTAGAATAGGCTGTATTCACCTTGCTTCCCTTTTTTTGTCTCTTTATGTATGAGGACATCCTATCCATCCAGCTAGGAATGAATCAACTCTACCTCTATTTACCAAAGCCTATGTGACCGGAATGTCTATTATGTCCAGTTATCATTATTGACTGTACAGCTTAACCTTCTAGGGTAAGCTTAAACGTTATTCTAGCGCTCACCACTTGTTACTATTGGTTCATTTTTGAACAGATAGTCACTGTTTCTTCATGTTATTATAATAGGATGGAGAATACCTATATTGTGGGTTAGCTGCTTACAACAAAAATATTCACTTTGCTGCACTTTATTGCATATTATTATAATACATTTTGTTACACTTTAATGTATTTATAAGCGTCTTCAGCACATAGCACTTTGTACAGATATAGATAAACTCATTACCTGCCCCTAACAAAGTCACAGGCTGTCTAATGTCAATTCTGTGCAAAACTAGCATCAGACTCGCACAGCATGCTGGTGCCTGACAGCTAATGGTGGCACTCCCTCCCCTTCTCTGTGCTGCACCTGTCCTCCCTTCAGTCCGTCATCCTTAACCTTACTGTCCGGTGAACGAGAGTGACATCAGCCAAGGAGTTTTAGCGTTAATTTTTTTTTAAACTGTTGGGGGAGGGGGAGGCTCACCACCTCAGAAAGCGTTACTCTAACCAGAACCAATGTTTTATTAAAACATTGTTTTTTGGTTGGAGAAACCCTTTAAACAAAGCTTATATGCTGTGCTTTGCACATGACAGTCATGAAATTAAACAATGTTTATATATATCCTCCTCGTTTGCAATATTCACCCTGGCTTCTGCCCCTTACAGCCCCTTCCTGCCCTCTTTCTACTCCATGCTGCCCTTTCCAGCTCCTTGCTGGACCTTTCTGCTCCCTCTACTTTACCTTCTGCTCCTTTACCTTTGTGCTCCTTTTGTCCCTTCCCGCTTCTTGCAGCCCCTTCCTGCTCCTTGCTGACCCTTCCGGCTCCTTGCTGACTCTTCCTGCTTCTTGCTGCCCCTTTCTGCTAATTTCTATTCCTCTATGCTCCTTCTCCTACTTTACCTTTGTGCTCCTTCTGCCCCTTCCAGCTCATTGCTGGCCCTTTCTGCTCCTTCTTCTACTTTACCTTTGTGCTACTTCTGATTATTAATGCTCCTTTACCTTTGTGCTCCTTTTGTCCCTTGCAGCCCCTTCCTGCTCCTTGCTGACCCTTTCAGCTTCTTGCTGCCCCTTTCTGCTTCTTGCTGCCCCTTCCTGCTCATTTCTATTCCTTTATGCTCCTTCTCCTACTTTACCTTTGTGCTCTTTCTGTCCCTTCCTGCCCCTTTCTGCTCCTTGCTGACTCTTACTGCTCCTTGCAGACCCTTCCTTCTCCTTGCAGACCCTTCTTGCTCCTTGGGCAGACCCTTCCTGCTCCTTGGGCAGACCCTTCCTGCTTCTTGCAGACCCTTTCTGCTCTTTTCTGCCCCTTCCTACTCCTTGCTGACCCTCTCTGTTCATTTCTGTTCCTTCTCCTTTCTGCTCCTTCTCCTACTTTACCTTCCTGCTCCTTGCTGACCCTTCACTGTATGCTGCCCCCATCCCTCACTTACCTGATCTGTAGTCTGCCCCCCATGCCACACTTGCCTAATCTGTAGGCTGCCCCCCACGCCTCACTTACCTGATCTGTAGGCTGCCCCCCCATGCCTCACTTACCTGATCTGTATGCTGCCCCCCATCCCTCACTTATCTGATCTATAGGCTACCCCCATGCCTCACTTACCTGATCTGTAGGCTGTCGCCTCATACCACACTTACCTGATCTGTAGGCTGCCCCCCATGCCTCACTTACCTGATCTGTAGGCTGCCTCTCCCCATCCCTCAGTATGGTGAAAGTAACCTCGCCACTGGTTCTTGGAGGGGCCTGTTTGCCAGCCTCATACCCTGTGACTATGGCCCCTGTGCTAAACCCTGTTGGAAACCACTGTTTGTGCCTTTTAAGAGTTTGACAGTAACACTTGGAACTCCGGAAGCTTTGAATCGGGAGTTCGAACTCCCGAACTCTGGAAGTCATTTGAAGCGGCATTCGAACACATGGCGGCGGCCATCTTTAGCAATGAACATAATGAGCGGTGTTTGGTCGTTGAGTGCATGGAACTCAAATCAGACACTGGACGGCTCGAACACCGCTAAACTCTTACCTTCCATAAATGCTTGGCTATTCGAAAGGGAGTCGAATGGCGTTCGGTGGGAATAAGCTCCCGAGCCAGAGACATAGACAAAGTGCTATACAAAATCTCTACGTTCGGTATTTTGGATGTTACTTCGAATCCCCGAAGTAGACCGGCCGCACAGCCTGATTCCCTTGAACTGTTTTGGGCATGGGACCATGTGTGCGGTCGGTCAAAATGTGACTTGCAGGAAATGCCCCTTTCATCTTTCACTTACCTGATCTGTAGGCTGTCCCCAATCCTCACTTACCTAATCTGTAAGCCTGCCACCCCCCCATATCCCTTATCTGTTCTGTAGGCTGTCTCTGAATGCCCATGTTCTCAACTACAATATGTGCGTTACCTGAAAAAGGATGCAGATTAGTAGAAAATAAGAACCAGGTTAAGAGACATTTTCATAATAATATACATGATATCAAGTCCCTCTTATTGTGATTAATATCTCTACAGCCCACACTTCAAGAAAGTGATATACGATTTACTATAAATTTGTTCATGTAAATTAATAAATCCAATATGCAGTATGTTTGGGTGCCTCTACTACGCATCTAGTCCTATGGAATTTCTCCATCTTTTTGATCTGTAAACCAAATGAGACAAAAATGAACCTATTAGTGGGATTTAAATATACACATAATATTTATATTATGTATGTATTTTGCAGTACACTAGTAGGCACATGATCGCACCCTTTGGTTCATCTGAATAATTTTTCCTGAAATGATTGCAAGAATGTGAGTCATCCAAACCGACATGCTACATAGATGAAATTCGGTGCATCCCAAAAAAAAACAACTTTTTTTATGACGAATCAATTCGGACTAACTGAAGTTTTGTCACTGTGCACAATTTTTACTAACCTTTGCTGCACTAATCACCCCAGCAAGCACTTCAGTAGTAACTGCTGGGGTGAAGAAGATGAATAAAGGAAATACAGGCTTTTTAAAGGGATCCTTTAGTGCCAGGAAAAAAAAACTGTTTTCCTGGCACTATAGGCTCTTGGAGTGCCCCCCTTCAAACCCCTTCAGCCACTTACCTTAATCCAGTGCTGGGCTCCCTCGGCACTGGTGACCTCTCCTCCTGTCAGGGAGACAGCCACTAGAGACTGGATTAACTCTGCAGTGTAAACATAGCAGTTTCTCTAAAAGTGCTATGTTTTCAGCTGCTAGGTCAAAACTATGGGAGCCTGGCACCCTGACCCCTTCATTAAGCCTATAGTGGTCCTTTAATAGAACAAGATGTCACTTACAAGAAAATATGTAATTTGTACCAAACGCCGCATGACTGTTACACTGTGTAACAGGTCAGTCCAGGGGCGGCAAAGAAACATGGGTGTTGTAGATCTACTACAGCAACTGGTCTTCCCAGAAGTCGTACTGCCCCGCTACAGTCTGTTATGAATGTTGCTGCCAGATTCATTTTCCTCTCCAGTCGCTCCCTTGCATTGGTTTCCTGTATCCTATAGGAGCCCATTCAAAATACTAATCCATATCTATTAACCTAAAAAACTCTAGCCCCTATTAAATCTCTTCACTAATTTATAGGTGTGCCCCTTCTCGGTCTCTCCGCTCTGCCAATGACCTCTTCAACCTATCGTTCCTGCAACATTTTGTACTTGTCTCATTTATTGTTAAAATCCCCCCTCTTATAATATTGCAGAATATGTTGGCGCTATATAAATGCCAAAATAATAAAATAATAATTATAATAACTGAATATCTACTTTTTGGTCACCTATGATGTATACAATAACCTTGCCAATACAAAAAAAAAAAAAAACATAATGTACAAAGAAGAAAAACATTCTCAGGATTAATATCAGGGATAACACATACAGGTTTACAATTTATTTTCTTTAAGCACGTGTTCTACTCTGTCCCACACAATCTGATATGTGGCAATGATGTGCAAGACCATAAATTCACTGACTACAGATAGTTAACAGTGCTGGGAGGAGCAGGACAGTCTGGCCAGACTGTGGAACTGCATTGATTTTATGTTCAGAGTAAGGTACAGTCTGCAAGCAGAGAATCCATCCCAGCTGGCTGTTTATATCGTAGCAGCCAAGGAAAGTGCTCACTCTGGACACTAAGTCTATGCAAGCAAAGATGGGAAAGGGGATACCAAGATTCACAGGAGACCTTGGATTCTAAGCCACGCTCTCTTTTAGAGAGAGATCAGTTTAAATATATCAACAGCATGAGGAAAGAAGATGAAAAACTCCTGGACAAGTAACTGTGAGTCGGACCCTCTGATCACAGGTACGATAAATATAAGAAAATGTAATAAAACAGGTTTAAAAAAAAAAAATATTCAAATACTAAGTCATATGACAGAATATTGAGTAAAGTGACCAGAAAGTTTTAAGTATTATCCTATTTCTTACTGGCTTGTTTATATTTTAATTCAGCCCTATGTCAGGCTGGTTTACAATTAATTAGAAAGTTCTACGAACAGCAAAATATTGTACAGCACTGTACCATGACCAGGCTTTACAGGCAAGTAGTTATTTTATATTAAACATCTAGATATACTGAATAAAAATGTCTATCTATCTATCTATCTATCTATCTATCTATTTATCTATCTATCTATCTTTAATAATGAAAACTAACAGTGACTGTAAATATCTAAAAAAAAAAAAAGTACTGATTATCAATGTATCTGTCATTTTATTAATGCCGTTGAGGTCTGATGGCAAGGTGTATTTAGATTATATAACTTATTAGTATCTATTCTAAATGCCAAAGAATGTTCTTAACAGCCTGAAAGGCATTGCATGTATATTTGGATAGCAGTAGGTTAATTATACACATGTTTAACAATTGTAGGACTGCATCACCAGAGCAGATGTTACATATGTGATGAAGTAGAGGTAGAATTAGGGGCCAGCACCTGCTCGTAGGACACCCTGGAGACGTTCATCATCGTGTACCCCAATAAATGTCAAGTTACCTTGTTTAACTATTGTATGACACACTGAATGTACTTCTCAAAGAGGAAACTTGGAGGATGATACAGGTCATTGTTTGCACTGTAACCAATTCTATGTCTAACATGCGTTTGTATCTACTGATTTGACCCACAATGTTGACCAGCAGAAGATCCTAAGACAAAGGTGTTGATGTTTATAAAAGGCGAGTGGAATTGCAGTTCATTAGTGATTGAGGTTCCAATTTGGATCCCGCAAAGCAAATGACTAATGACCAAACTAAAACTCCCGGAATATGAATAAACGAGTCCGGTAAATTGCTATTAGCTGGGGAATAAGTGCTCTGTGAGAGCAGTGCTGGCTCGGAGACTGGGAACGTTGTCACCGTCAAGGGACAAGGCTCCTCCACACTGATCTAATTATACAGTTTACGTACGATTAACTTGGTAGTGTTTCGTTTTCTTGAATACTTTTACGTTTACACTGGACCTGAGCCTGGTTAGTCAATAAAACTCCATGCTTTTAAAACAGGAATGAAAAGATTCTTATATATATTCTCTGGGAGATTATTTACTAAGCAGCAGATTGTAGAGAACCCACAACCAAACTGCAGACCACAACCAAATAGCGGAAATAAGGAGTTTGTCCAACTGAGCTAAGTTTACCTGACTTTTGCAATTTGGATGCCAATTAATAGCAATTATTTGTTTAGTTAATGTAGTCCTTGGGGTGTTACCAAACCTCAAATATTGTGTTTGGATTAGCTGTGTCTCAGTAAAACAATCTACTAAAAAAAAGTTATGAAATGGATTGCAAATGTGTTACAAACCTTTCTAATAATGCACAGTTTATGTCAAAAAAGTTGAATAAAATAATAAAAAATAAAAATCCAAGCCATTACTATAACAATTACACCCAGGTAGAGGCAGAAATTAATACTTGGTACTCAGATGTTTTTGTCTCTTGGGGATAAAAATGTCATCACTTCCTTTGTGTATGAGACAGGTAAGTCAGTGGATTCAACTTGCTTTATTTACAGGCGTATTTACTAAAGTGAGCATTCGAAGTGTGTTTCAAATTTCAGACCAAAGTAGTGGAACTGGAAGTATACCTGAGAATTTTTCTAATAAGGCTATTTTGGCCTTAAATTTTAAATTCAAAGTGAATTCTCATTTTAGTAATTAACCCTGTTAGTGTTTTATAATAAAATGTAAATACAAAATAATCTATTTTTTATTATTCTGTAAAATAGTAAAATATACCTGTCAGTTGGTTTTAATTTAGAGAATACTGCATTTCATCTATATGTTTTGCTAGCAGACATGTTATCAAATGTATAGATTTTAATTTAATGCCCTTCAGAGTTTGGCCTCTTCCCATATGTCAATCAACCCCGGGCACTAACTCTGTTTGCTGACAGCAAAGATGGTCTAAGCAAATGGCTGATTGACAGACACAACAAGATAACCATCCCAAAGCCAGTATTTGTCATGCTTGCAAGGGGAGTATGGGACGCTATGACGTTGATGTACTGGCAGTGAAGCCAGAATGTTGGTGTCATCAGAGAAAATTGACCTACTTGGGGAAGTGTCCCCAAGCAGTGCCAATTGCTTCAGAGAGAAGGTGGCAGTAGAGAGTGGGTATTGCTGCATTGCGGCTTTGAGCGAGGGACATCAGGTGAGTACCAATATAACAGCTCACAAAGCATAGAAATATACAGTGAATAACCCTAATGATTTAGTACTATGACAAATTATATAGTTATTGGAAGATGTTATATGTTAACGTGAACCTGTTGTGACAGGTTTCCTTGAAATAAATAAATATAGGAATTAAATTAATTTGAGTTGTAGAGATGAACATCTAGTGTAATTCTACATAGTATTCGAATATGTTTTGGTTTAGACATCAAACCGAGTGACCACATTTTTTCCATGAGTTAAATCCCATCGATAAGGAGTTCAGAGGTTGTTAATGTTATCCTGTGTGTGTTAAAGATTTAAGAGTCCTCTTGTTTTATTTTTGTTAGAAACTTAAATTGTTAAAAAACAGATGTTTAGCTAATCACTTTTGTGAAATGTTCTGTATTTACAGATTACGTTCTTTCATAAGCCAGTCAAGATGTTTTAAGTCCTCTGACCTCTTAACAATGAACAACAGTTCGGAAACAATAGTGTTTGGTAGTCATGAAGCGCCATCCAACACAACCTACCTCATGGAACAGAAAATATCAGTATTTTTTTCAATTGTGTTTATGACAGTCGGCATAATCTCAAATGGCGTGGCTTTTATCATTCTTATGAAAGCCTACCAAAGATTTCGGAAGAAGTCAAAAGCTTCATTTCTGCTGTTTGCCAGTGGTTTGGTGGTCACCGACCTATTTGGTCATCTCATTAATGGAACCATTGCTGTCTTTGTCTACGCATTCAACAGAGACTGGATGAGATTTGATCGCTCAAATATTCTTTGCAGCATATTTGGCATGTGCATGGTGTTCTTTGGACTGTGCCCGCTTCTTTTGGGTTGTGTGATGGCAGTAGAGCGGTGCATAGGGGTAACAAAACCAATCTTTCACTCTACAAAAATGACTTCAAAACATGCAAAAATCATCTTGAGTTTGGTATGGCTCTTTGCCATTTTCGTTGCATTATTACCTATATTAACGTTGAGAGACTATCACATACAAGGATCAAGAACCTGGTGCTTCTTAAAGACCGAACAGGTTGAGAACTGGATGGATCAATTTAATCTACTCTTTTTCTCTTCACTTGGGCTTCTGTCCCTTGCCATCTCATTTTTGTGCAATGCAATGACCGGGCTAACGCTACTCAGATCCAAAATGAAAAACCAGCAGTATCGACAGGGACGATCTCATCATATAGAAATGATTGTCCAGCTCTTGGCTATTATGTGTGTCTGTTGTATCTGCTGGGCTCCATTTCTGGTAAGCATTAAAACCTCACAAGGAAATTGTGATATCACAACCCCATTCATAGTCCCTCATCTAACCCTATAACTTCTAACCCTACCTCTAAATCCCACCTCAAAGCTTAAATACTGTACTACTTTCCATGTCACTTTCAAACTCTAAAAAAATCTAACTTTATCCCTAAATCTCTTTAAACACTAAAACACCCTCTTCTATAGAACTGTGCTCCTTCTACATTTAAGATGTTCTCTAGGTCTCGCAATAGCAGTAAATAGAGAGAGGTATGTGTGCAATACAGAAATACACGTATGTTCCGCAGCACCTGCTGGACTATCAGGGAAGCACTAGGAGAGGTCCTCTATCGTAGTCTTGGTAGTGGCATGCCATCTGTGAATAGGAGCAATAATAATTTAAAAATATTATATAAAACTTAAGCAGTGTAAAGAAATATTATACAGAAACAAGGTTCCTATTTGTTCGTAACCCTATTTGGTTCCTATTTGTTTGTAACAGCTACATTTTATAAACTGGATTTAAAAATACTTTTATCTCAAATGTAAACTTTTTTTTATTTTTATCAATGTCTGCACAGTGAGAACAGTGAGAGTAGGGCATGCTTAAGCACTTACAAACCAATAATGTCATTAAAGTAACTTTTTCTTTGAAGATTCTATTCTACGATGGATTGATCTAGCCATTAAACAAATGCATGCCTTCATGCAGCTCCAAAAACAATATGCACAGGACATTCTATGCTGACATAAGGTCTTTAGAAACCAGATTACAATAACAGCAAATTGTAAGATGTGGTCCTTAAGGGGTTAAAGTAAAAAAGACAAACTGAGATAGCTGTCCCTTTTGTTTTATTGTTACTGTTAACCCCTTAAGGACCAAACTTCTGGAATAAAAGGGAATCATGACATGTCACGCATGTCATGTGTCCTTAAGGGGTTAAAACTGACCATCGTCTACTAAACTTTTCCCCCAAGTATGTAAAAAATGTAGAACTTGTTTGTACAGGGTTATTCACAAAAGTAAGAATTGAGAGTTAATGCAAAGTGAATTTCGAAATTAAGACCAAAGTAGCTGAACTGAGAGCATAGCTGACTTGGAGAGATTTTGCAGATCGGCTATTTTGACCTTAAATTAGAAATTCACATAAAATTCACTCTAGTGATTACCCCTGTAGATGGTCCTAAATATTTGTCTTAAATTCCATTAATTGCTCTGAAACTGCTTCTAGTAATACCAAGACAATGGCTTATTTAACTTTCATTAAACTATAAATCATATGTGTGTGTGTAGTTCAATATAGTGCATTCAATTGGGAATGGTACAAGAAAGCCTTTATACACCGGAGCACTGAACTTTTCACGTCCTCATTGCCAATTAGCTGCTAACTACATAACGCCCCTGCTCATTCCTATTCTGTTTCTCAACTCCATGTTTACAGCACATTAAAGGAATTGAGACAGATGTTAGTATGTAAAGAAATAAACTGTACAGATATTTGGAACAGATCATTATGTAAGACCACTTACCATAAACCATTTTAACCTTACAAAAACAACGTGGGAGGACAATTTATAAACCAATAGCACACTGAAGTCCCTGATTACTATTTTCCAGCAAATTCATTTAAAACAAAATTTCTCACGTAAAGTTCCCCGAACATTTACATATACAATGTATATAACTGTGAAACAAATATACTACGTAGAAAGCATTCTAAAAAAATAAAAAATAAAAAACAGCGTTGATATTAAAAAAATTGACCACAGGCATCTTTGACAATTGCTGAGATCAGACATTGGATTGAACGTTATGTAGAGTTCTAGTTCAATATTAATCTCATATGAAGTTGAATATGTGAGTAATTGTTGCAGCTCAAGAACATATTTTTTATTCAAATTTTAAGACATGGTTCACAGGTAATTATTTTTCATTAGAATGTAAAAAGAATGTAAAAACGTAACGAGAGAAGAAAACGTAGCATAGAATCTAAATATAATCCCTGAAACATAAGCTGACTTAAATGAACACACGTTTCTTCTGGAATCATAAAAGGGTGAATAAAAAAAAACTAATTTAAAGCAAATTTATAGAAAAAGTGCAACATAAGTTTATAGCTACTGCAGCTTGAGTAGCTACCTTTTATAAACTGGATTTATAAATGCTTTTATCTCAAATGTAATTTTTTTTCTATTGTCTGTACAGTGAGGATAGTGTTTGCCATGCTTAAGCATTTAAGAACCAATGATGGTCTATGACATCATCATTACACATTTTTCTTTAAAGAACTTATTCTATAATGGATTAACCTAACCATATACCAAATGCATGACTTCATTCAGCTCCCAAAACAGAATTTACAGGACATTCTATATATAAATGTGTCTACATAATTTGGCACTAAAGACTACAACATGATGCTTTCCCGGGGCTTTAGGCAGCATAAACATGCTTCAGAGCACAGTCCATATATATTAGTATAATAAATAATAATAAATTAGGATGAAATTCTTCACATCAAGGTAATGAAGCTTCTATATACATAGGTATGTTAATACTAACTGCATAACTGAGGGGTTACCCACATTTGTTTTGTTTTGCAATGTACCCTCTTTCATATCAGCGCGCGAGGCTAAATATGTTTCATTTGCCCCAGGCTAATGAGTAGTCTACTTTGTGATTTATCCATTTTTAGTGCTTTTTCTGCCATGTCCATGTCTAATTGTAGGAAAGCTAGAGAGGTTGTTTATTAAATCTTGATCTTGATTCTTATTTTAGAATCGTTTTGGAATGTTCACAGTTATATCCTGGTCTGCCGAAAAAAGGTTTCTAACTCTACCTTAAATGGAACACATTTCCTTTTAGAATGCCACGTTTCCTGCAATTATTTCTGACATTACTGTGCATTTGATGTAATTCTATTTTAAAATGTAAACTCTCCAAAAAGCGCAAATATTGAAAGACACTATGAGGTTCCCCCCAAAATCTTTCTTTACCGATGTTTCCCAAATCTTCTCTCTAGTTAGTTCAGGTTTTCCCCTTTGTTTGTGACATCTTTTATTAATTCTGTACATTGATGTACATTTAAATTATTTCCCATTTATTTTACAATCATAATTTCTACCCAAGTCTTTCCATATAATTTGGGGTTGTAAAGATTTAACATGATGTTTTCATTATATTGTGTGCAAATCTTTCTTTTGATGCAAGATCAAAGTCAGAACAAACTCAGGACAAGGCGTATGTTCTCCCTCTATACAGATGTCTACTAGTATAATAATTCCATGTTTTTTTCACTATGCTAAATTATTATATTTTACATCCTTTTCGATTGCTAAGATTATGTTTTATGTTCTTTTCAAAGGCTATCATAGTAATTAACTTGGATGTGACTTTTTATAAACCACATTTATTTTTTTTAAAGTGGGCTCTTTATATACTTAGTGCGTTTTTACTTTTTACTTGTTCCTTTTAGATTCTCATTTGCTTTGTTGTTGCATTGTAATATTTTATACCTCCTTGCCTGGATCCAGCACATAAGTGCTTATTTGGACTATTTAATTCTCAAAAAAGCATAACGCGATCATATCACTAAACATACTTGTGGTTGCACAAGGCCACCACGGGGGATTTTTATCCATGTGAGGGCACTCCTACAGCTCGTGGTTGGCAAAGCTGAATGGCAGTCAGATGCGCATGTGCGCTAGTTTGCATGCATAAATTTGAAGTGGCACTAACATTCACCCTCTATGTTTACAAACCCTCCAGATCTTGGGCCATACCACCTCCAATTTTTTTTCTGTTGGCTTAAGGGCTGTCATTAAAAATTGCAGAGCTTCCTACAAAACCAGTTTGAAGAGCGTCTAGCAATTAACCCCAGACATGCACGCATTCTAATGCACAGAATTCGGAACAAAAACCACACAGGCAATTCTTTAACCCAAGTGTGAGTAAAGTTAAAGGCTAGTGTAATCATTTTATAACAAATTTGAATTGAAGTTATTGTAAGTTACTGTAACCCTTACCCTAAAATAATACGAATCTTAACACTGGTTTCATTGTTGCACTGACCCTAACATAATAATAATAACAAATACGAAGGTCATGCCAATTTAGAGCAATGAAATTATGTCTGTCAATAGAAAAAAACAAAACATGTGCGTTAGACCTGAAAACGCTGGCACCAAAATGGAATCGCTGAAATGGTATTCCTGATCAGCAGTATCAATATGTAATCTATTTTGGCAATACCGTCATTAGCCCTGGATGGCTGCATGTTCCTATTCCAAAGCATTACCCCTGCAGAATGTAAAGTTTAAACGCCCTTTAGCTGCAGTGGATATTGTTCAGGAGTATACTAACAATAGCAAATTAGTTTAACCTAGTATACAGTAGAATGGGTAGTATTATTTACCTGAATTTTCCAATCTATATAAATATTGCATTCGGCATTGTACAGGGTATTACTAGGACAAGCTAATAATGCCACTGATCTTAATAACTATTTGACATTTTCTTGCTGTTTAACTCTTTTTACCAATTTATCGTTATAATGCAAACCATTTACTGTAATGCATTTCAAACAAGTAAAATGCCAAGTTAATGTGCAAAAATGAATTATTCACTTCATGCAATTAAGAGAATTTAATAACACAAACATAAGGTTAAAATGACAGGAACACTGCACCCTGACCACTTCAGTGAGATAAGGTGGTCTGGGTGCCCATTGTGCCCCTTTAATCAATTTAAATGTGGTTGCATCAGATCTGTTCTTTCTTTTAATCACATTTTTAGGGGGAACTTAGAATGTCAGACATGCTTGTAAAGTGGGTTCAGATGTCTGCATTGGAAAACAGACAAATAAGATCTGTCTAAGGATTCTGGCTGCAGCTCTCTATACCACAGATATACAGGGTTAGTAAAAAGCCGAGCTATATCCCAGATATACAGGGTGAGTAAAGGGCCTAGCTATATCTCAGATATACAGGGTTAGTAAAGAGCGATATCCCAGATATACAGGGTCAGTAAAGAGCCAAGCTATATTCCAGATATACAGGATTAGTAAAGAGTTTAGCTATATCTCAGATATACAGGGTCAGTAAAGAGCCGAGCTATATTCCAGATATACAGGGTTAGTAAAGAGTTTAGCTATATCTCAGATATACAGGGTTAGTAAAGAGCTATATCCCAGATATACAGGGTCAGTAAAGAGCCAAGCTATATCCCAGATATACAGGGTTAGTAAAGAGCTATATCCCAGATATACAGGGATAGTAAATAGCTATATCCCAAAAATACAGGGTTGGTAAAGAGCTATATCCCAGATATTCAGGGTCAGTAAAGAGCCAAGCTATATCCAGATATACAGGGTTAGTAAAGAGCCAAGCTATATCCCAGATATACAGGGTTGATAAAGAGCTATATCTCAGATATTCAGGGTCAGTAAAGAGCCGAGCTATATCCAGATATACAGGGTTTAGTAAAGAGTTTAGCTATATCTCAGATATACAGGGTTAGTAAAGAGCTGTATCCCAGATATACAGGGTCAGTAAAGAGCCAAGCTATATCCCAGATATACAGGGTTAGTAAAGAGCTATATCCCAGATATACAGGGTTAGTAAAGAGTTTAGCTATATCTCAGATATACAGGGTTAGTAAAGAGCTATATCCCAGATATACAGGGTTAGTAAAGAGCTATATCCCAGATATACAGGGATAGTAAATAGCTATATCCCAAAAATACAGGGTTGGTAAAGAGCTATATCCCAGATATTCAGGGTCAGTAAAGAGCCGAGCTATATCCAGATATACAGGGTTAGTAAAGAGCCAAGCTATATCCCAGATATACAGGGTTGGTAAAGAGCTATATCCCAGATATTCAGGGTCAGTAAAGAGCCGAGCTATATCCAGATATACAGGGTTTAGTGAAGAGTTTAGCTATATCTCAGATATACAGGGTTAGTAAAGAGCTATATCCCAGATATACAGGGTTAGTAAAGAGCTATATCCCAGATATACAGGGTCAGTAAAGAGCCAAGCTATATCCCAGATATACAGGGTTAGTAAAGAGCTATATCCCAGATATACAGGGATAGTAAATAGCTATATCCCAAAAATACAGGGTTGGTAAAGAGCTATATCCTAGATATACAGGGTTAGTAAATAGCTATATCCCAGATATACAGGGTTGGTAAAGAGCTATATCCCAGATATACAGGGTTAGTAAAGAGCCAAGCTATATCCCAGATATACAGGGTTAGTAAAGAGCTATATCCCAGATATACAGGGATAGTAAATAGCTATATCCCAAAAATACAGGGTTAGTAAAGAGCTAAATCCCAGATATACAGGGTTAGTAAAGAGCTATATCCCAGATATACAGGGATAGTAAATAGCTATATCCCAAAAATACAGGGTTGGTAAAGAGCTATATCCCAGATATAAATGGTTAGGAAAGAGCTAAATCCCAGATATACAGGGTTAGTAAAGAGCTATATCCCAGATATACAGGGTTAGTAAAGAGCTGATCTAAATCCCAGATATATACATATAAGCCAAACGTTCTCTTCAGACATAGGTGTTTTTGATGGAAGTTAGCGCATAGTTAGTAATTTTCCCTTTAATTTAGTGTTAATGTAATTTAATAACGCACCTGTCACAAATCCTTACTGTTACTTTAAGTGGACTTCCCAGGGTCCTTAAGACAGGATGCACAAATTAGTGCCAGGAAGCACTCAATCAATATGACAGTGAAACTAAATAAACTCCACTTAGCTTGCACTGAGAAATAAAACCCTTTTCTGCGGCATTCTGTACACATCTCGGAAGAGAAAACATGGCTATTCACACCTTTGTGTTTTGGTTCAATCTTTATCCAAAATCCCTGTAATTTAAGCTATGGTTACCACTAAAACAAAGAAGTCTTATGGGAAATGTAGGATTGCCAGTGATGCTTGAAAACGGAAAGTTACTGAGAATAGAAAAAATGTTATCTACAAATTGAGTCCGAGATCATAAAACATGTTGCACTAGTTTACATAGCAGAGATAACCAGAGGATAATGAGAGACATATTGATGAGTTTGAATGTATTTCTAAGGTTTTTTTTTAATCAAAAGCATGAAGGTTTTTTTTCACTAAACTGAGATTCATGAAAGTGAGAAGAAAATTGCAGATTTTAGGTAAAAAATTGCTCAGCTGGTAATGCAGCTGAATTAGAGAATTATTTTACTCTCCTGTAGCACCCACCTCCAGTCCACCTACACTCCACCTAGAGTCTTCTGTGATGCCAGCACGCTGCCGCTAACAGAATCTAAAAGGACATCCCATAGCAACCACACCTCATGTCCTGTGGGTGCGATTTTTGGGGAGCAGAAGGACCGCCTGTGGGAGATCTTTTCTGCTCTCTCTTTTTAGTCGATTCTTTGATAAACACTCTATCCTGATGCATTGACTGACAGGCGGGAGACATATTTTTAAATTAAATAGTTTTCGCATCTACATTCTAATAGACATGTATGCTGAATGTTAGTGTATTTTGTATATAATATTTATATAGAGCTAACACGTATACTTAGCACGTTACCGATTACATTATAGCATTCCAAATAATGATAAGTGTAATAATTGTACAATCAATTTAATGCAGGGACAAAGTAGTTTCATATAAGCCTCTAACTCAAGCTCTCATAAAAGGAGTTTTGACTAGAAAATAATGTTCTGTAGAATTCTGTACACGTCTCTGAATAGGAAACATCATTTAGAGTAAACTATTCACACCTCTTGTTTCGGTTCACTCTTCACTCAGAAACCTTGCTTGTAATTTAACTCAGCCGTGATTAACGTATAAAGAAAACCTAAGAAACAGTTGTATAGGAACAGAGACATTGTTACGAAACCCCTAAAATTGGTTGTGAATGAGAAAAAAAAGAAGGTTACAAGATTCTGTTGTATTGCAGATTTTGAAGATTGTTATAGATGATGCTTTGATTTATAGAATTGCCACAAGTAAAGAATACGGAGATGAGTGACTCATTAACGGAGGTTTTAAATAATATATAAATAACCCCTAGCTACCGAGGTCCTCTGACTCCATTGGTTATTGGAATTATTTACAAATTGGTTCCAATAGAATCTGATGATATCAGATACAATTGCACTGTTAGGTCACAAGTAGAGGTATATCTTTCTTAAAGGGTTATTCACTAAACACCAGAAGTCCAGATGGACAGGATCCTGAGAAAAATGACCAAATTCCGACCACAATGACAATTCTCTAATTTACTAAAGCCAAGTACAGTCAAAATTCAGTCAAATATGCAACAATCACCCGAATGCATTCAGTGTTCAGATGAAAATCAGTGCTTAACAAAATAAAGGATTTGGAAGTTTCACAAAGCACCTGTTTTACACAAACTCAGAACCGAATCTCTATCAGGATGCACATTCACTTACTATGAATTAGTGAATGATAATTTCAAGTCCTCTTTGCTAGTGCTGCTAGGGGGCAAATAGTTTAAAAACCCATGGCAACATTTTACCTTTCTCTTAATGTTTCCTTTTTTCTCTCTCTTCCTCTTTCAGAATCTGTTCTTCTTTTATTCATTTCTGATCTCTTTCTCTTTAAAACATTTTCTTAAAAAAAAGTAGGGACTACTTTGTCTTATATATTTTTCCTACACTTGACAATCTTCACAAAGGGTAGAGATTAAGACAAGCTGCACTTCCGTTGTCAAGATGGTGGGGCTTTGTCAAGATGACCAAATGGCCAAGCATAGAAAAAATACGTAAGTCAAAGTAGTCCTTACTTTGCTTAATGTTTTAAAGAAAAATAGTTCAGAAATTGAAGAAAAGAAGAACAGATTCTAAAATAAAAAATGGGGAAACTATAGGAAAAAGGCAGTTGGTTTGAGGTGACAGAGACACTTTACGGTGGCTGGTCAGAGCTTGCTAACCAGCCACCACATTAAAAGGACTAAATAAATAAAAACCCTGTGGGAGTCAATACGTTTTTAAACCTCCCTATGTCTACACCTGCCATGCGGCAAGAGAGGGCAATTCATCTGGGAACGTTCAGTGCTGGGGCAGGAGGACAATTCATCTGGGAATGTTCAGTGCTGGGGCAGAAGGACAAACCATCTGGGAATGTTCAGTGCTGGAGAAGGAGGACAATCTATCTGGGAATGTTCAGTGCTGGGGAAGGAGGACAATCTATCTGGGAATGTTCAGTGCTGGGGAAGGAGGACAATCTATCTGGGAATGTTCAGTGCTGGGGAAGGAGGACAATCTATCTGGGAATGTTCAGTGCTGGGGAAGGAGGACAATCTATCTGGGAATGTTCAGTGCTGGGGAAGGAGGACAATCTATCTGGGAATGTTCAGTGCTGGAGAAGGAGGACAATCTATCTGGGAATGTTCAGTGCTGGGGAAGGAGGACAATCTATCTGGGAATGTTCAGTGCTAGGGCAGAAGGACAATATAACTGGGAATGTTCAGTGCTGGGGCAGAAGAACAAACCAACTGGGAATGTTCAGTGCTTGGGCAGGAGGACAATTTATCTGGGAATGTTCAGTGCTGGGGTAGAAGGACAATCCATCTGTTAATGTTCAGTGCTTGGGTAGACGGATAACCTACCTGGGAATGTTCAGTGCTGGGGTAGGATAACAATCCATTTGGGAATGTTCAATGCAGGCTCAGGAGATCAATCCATATGGGGATATTCAGCGCTGAGTCAGAAGCACAGTCCATTTAGGAACATTCAGTGCTTGGGCAGGAGGACAATCCATCTAAGAAAATTCAGTTCTGGGTCAGAATGACAATCTATCTGGGACCATTTAGTGCTAGGGCAGGAGGACAATCCATCTGGGAATAGCATGTATATTATGTAATTCAGCATGTCTCTTTATGACTGTATGTAGTTGCATGGCTGCCATCAGAAATCTTGGGGCCCCTGACAAAGCTCAAGATCTGGGGCCCGCCCCTGAGTCTGCTCACAGGGCTCTTCCTGAGTCCGCTAACAAGGATGCAGTACTGAATGTGGTGAATGTGGTGTGTGTATGGTGGATGTAGAATTAGAATGTGTGTAATGGACGCAGAGTGCATATGTAAAGTGGATGCAGTGTGTAAAGTGGATGCAGTGTGTTAAGTGGATGCAGAGTGAGTGGAAAATGGATGCAGTGTGTATAGTGGATGTAAATTTTACATTTGTGTAATGGATGTAGTGTTTTTGTGTATTAGATACAGTGTGTGTAGTGAATGCAGTGTGTATAGTGAATGCAGAGTGTGTGTGTGTCATCGATGTAGTGTGTGTATAGTGAATACAGAGTTTGTTTGTGTAGTGGATGTGTGTGTTTGAGTAGTGGATGTACTGTTTGTGTGTATTAGATGCAGTGGGTGTAGCGTATGCAGTGTCTGTGTATAGTGAATGCAGAGTGTGGATTTGTGTAGCAAATGTAGTGTGTGTGTATTAGATGCAATATGTGTATAGTGAATGCAGAGTGTTTGAATGTGTAGTGGATGTTGTGTGTGTATAGTGAATGCAGACTGTGTGTGTAGTGGATGCTGTGTATACAGTGAATGGAGAGTGTGTGTCAGTGTAGAAGATATAGTGTGTGTGTATAGTGAATGCAGTGTGTGTGTAGTAGATGTTGTATATGTATAGTGAATGCAGAGTGTGTGTTTGTTTTGTGGAAGCAGAGTGTGTGTTAGTGTAGTAAATGCAGAGTGTGTGTTAGTGTTGTGAATGCCGAGTGTGTGTTGATGTAGTGAATGCAGAGTGTTTGTTGGTGTTGTGAATGCAGTGTGTGTTAGTGTAGTGTATGCAGAGTGCATGTCAGTGCAATGAAAGCAGAGTGTGTGTTAGTGTAGTGGATGCAGAGTGTGTGTTAGTGCAGTGTATGCAGAGTGTGTGTTCGTGCAGTGAAAACAGAGTGTGTGTTAGTTTAGTGTATGCAGAGTCTGTGTTAGTGTAGTGAAAGTAGAGTGTGTGTTAGTGCAGTGAATGCAGAGTCTGTGTTAATGTAGTGAATGCAGAGTGTGTGTTAGTGCAGTGAAAGCAGAGTGTGTGTTAGTGTAGTTAAAGCAGAGTGTGTGTTAGTGTAGTGTATGCATTTAGTGTAAATGTTGAGCAAACTAGGGGGAAAAAGAGCTTATTACCTGGTCAGGTGCTGGGGGTAGATTCCATTCCATGGTGGTCCCATGGCATGGTAAGTCCTCCAGCTGCCTGTATACCGCATTCTGTCTGTTCAATACAGCTCCTCTCTCTAACTCACGGCTTGCGTGCCGCATGGAGTGTTGCCATGGAATCCCATGGCAACGCTCTGATGGCCACGGGTCTCGTGAGGGTTAGAGAGGAGCTGTAAAGTAAGAACAGAGTGTGTTGAGCGATAATCGCTATATATATGTGCACGTAGGGAATGTGGAGCCCGGGAATGCCAGAGCAGTCCGTTCCCCCCAGGACCGCCGGGCCCGTGACAACCTGATGGCCCTGTGTGGTTGGCTGTGTGTATCTGTGTATGTGTGCCTGGCAGTATGTATATGTATGTGTGTTTATTGTGTGCCTGTAGAAGTGAAGAGTCATAAACACCCCCCAAATACCCAACAACAATGCAGCTAGACATGAAAAAAGCACAATACCCACTGACATACACAGCTAAATAATGCGTCACAGAAATTTACACAGAAAATAGGGTAACCTGGCACACAAACACACACATACTAAAAACACTCAGAGGCTGTATAACAAATATACAAATATACACACTCACATAAAGGCACACTTATTGACACACACTGATATTTATGCAAACTTTCAAAGGACACATTTAATATCATCACACATATATATATATACACACACAGTATATGTATATGCACTTTTTGCAATTAATTCTGAACTATGACATAGATAATGAGAAGATGGATTTTGACACATTACAAACATCATAAAATGAAAAATGATATTGAGAGGTTTATAATTACAAAGAGAAAGAAAGTCTGGCAATTTCAAATATTCATTGAAGGTTCAAATTAGTTTGTAACAGTAACCAGGCTTTTTCCATCTTACTCCAGAACTTCAAATATCCGAAACATAATGCTACCAGTATTTTTCTATGTCCCAGACTGAAGCTGATGTGCTGTAATTTGTTATTAGAAATGCAACATATGCATCTGGTTTAACACTCTGCTTGTTTTCCCCTACAGATAACAATGGCTAACATTGGATTAAATGGTGATTCATTGGAGTCTCGGAAGACCATCCTATTTTCTCTCCGAATGGCCACATGGAATCAAATCTTAGACCCTTGGGTTTATATCCTTCTGAGAAAAACTATTCTTAAAAAACTTTTTCGGATCACGAGGCGCTGTTGTGGTGTAGAAATGATTCGTATACACACGTGGGAGTTTAGTTCTTTTAAAAACTCTTTAAAAGTGGCCACCATCTCTGATTCGTCTGGCTGTACAAGAACAAACACTTTAAACAACTCCAGAAAAGTTAGCACCAATCAAAAGTCTGAGCTAACTGAAAACAAGCAATCATTTATTTTGAGTGAAATCTAGTGACGTTAATGAGGGTTGTATCATCCCGTGTACGATACAATCAATTCTTGAATCGAAGGCAAAGATCCATGGATTACATTTACTAAAGAGGAGTTGGTTTCGAAAGGTTCAGATGTGAACACTAAATACAAGCCAATGTATTTTAGCATAATCTGTTAAAGCTCGGATTGTGGGAATGGAAGTTATTATGAGGGACTCTCAATGAGCCTTTTGAAACGTAACAAAAGTCGCTGCTACCTCTGAGGTCTATGTAATTTTGCAGTCTCTTGCACAATTCTCTGGCACACACATTAAAGGAACGTGAAACAAACCGTATTGTAAAATCAGTGTTTTAGTACAGGTGTTTTTTTTTTCGAATTAAATAAGCTTTAGTTGTGTTGTAATTTCAATTTTTTTTAACAGCTGAGAGTCTTGAAGTGCAAATGAAAATTCTTCAAAATATCAGAAAAGCCCAAACATTGCACCCTTCTTGGGTGGTATATTTTAGATACCACATCTAAGTTAAGTATATTTGAGAAATAAAACCATATGAACCCAGCTAAAAGGACATTTGTAAAACTATATTGTATGTTAGCAACATAAATAAAAGTATGATTCTTTTAACCAACATTTGAAAACAGGTCATATCAGAACAATTCAAACCTGCTACATCAAGCCAGAAATATTATTAGCCTAACCCAACCTAAAAAAAACCAAACAACTGGATACAAGCAATTTTAAACAAGACCGAATTTAGAGTGTCGATAGAGTGAATAAACAAAGAAATAACTGAAAAACCCACTGGCATAAATTATAAATGCATAAAATAAATAAGATCCCAGAATCCCTTATTAAATTGCCATTTTATTCCCTCACCCCATGTGTCCAGCATTGACTGAACAATCTCCTTACCATTCTATATGCCCCCATACTAAGCACTATGCCATAGAAGTGCCTATTTAGTTGACAGTAATCACCTCGTTCTCCCCTGTACCCTTACATATACGTAGACATGTAGTGGTATCCCTAAAAAAATCAAAGTTTTTATGGAGCCTAGTGGTACCTGGCTCTTTTTGTAGGTGTAAAAGGTTACTCTCCAATACCAGATCTCCTTTTCCCCAGCGGCAGTGTCTTTTGCTGCCGAAAAGGGGCACCACTGATTGACGAGAGTGGCCAGCTGATGTTCCAAGCCACATAGCAGCTCTCCATAACCCTATAAAAACCTGTGTTAATATTTGGCTCTGTTTTGCCCACATTTACAGGAAACATTTAAAATAAAATCTGACAAAAACCAATAGTAACCTGTAAACAAAGAAATGAAATAAGCAATGTTATTGGCCAATCCTGTTGTCCATATCACATTTCGATCATCACAAATTTTAAAAGGACACTCTGGTCTGAAAGTTACTTATATTCCCTTATAGTGCATTTGATAATTTATATACATATTCATAATATAAATGTAAATATAAATTTACTGCATGAATGGAAATGCAACTAGCTTCAACTAAATGGTTACTGTGCTATGTATAGGGAAGAATATACCCACTTATGTTTATGAACATGGAGGGTGTGGGGTTATATATGTATATATATTTGGATAGCTCCAACCTTAATTAGGGGTTTGATTGATATAAAGAGTTGGGATTGGTGACCCATTGCTTAGGGGACAGGAGCAGGTGGGCAATTACAAGCCAACACACTCCATAGCACCAGTTTCTCGTATTCTGTGATTGACTGATGGGAAGAAAAAAAGAAGGGCTAATTTCTGGTTAAAAAATGATCTGGTTGTCCTTGAAATTGTTTTTATTAGCCAGGTAAAAAAATTCCAGATTTAAGCCAAACCTGACTTAGAATCTGTATTGGGCACTGTAAGTGTGAGGCAATAGGTGACAGATCGAACCATACTTGCAAGTCCTATAAATATTACTGACGCTTCTGCATGTCTCACTGAGTTATTCCACCCTTTATTGACCATTTTAAGGGATATGTTCAGTTGTCCTTTGGTGTAGCAATCCTGTCACATACAGGGTTATTCAATATAGTGAGTATTTTACAAAATTTACAGGAATTGTACACGTAAGGCCCTAATAGCTGAATTGGTAGCATAGGTGACTTGGAGAACATTTTGGCTATTTTGGCCTTTGAATTTCTGTCAATTCTTACATTAGTGAAAACCCATGGAAATGTTAGATTAATTTACCCCAGGTATTACATAATTGTCATGATTTGACAGAGTAGCAGAATATTTCATTAAAATCCTCACTTCTCTCTCACAGAAATTCCAATTCTGCATCTGCCGTAAGAATGTATATATTTGGTAGTGGGGAGGGAACTCGTGACATTCTGTCCAAAACATTTTGTTGTCTACAAATTTTTGTTGAATGTAATTTTGTTCCGTTGTTGTCCATTTCTGGTTTTCTCTCTCTCTCTTTTGTATTGTCTTTCATCTTTTGTTAATTTTTTTTTTTTTAATATGTGCAATATGAGTGTATATATGGGATGTAGAAATTTTTTGAAAAGTACTATTTATGTTGGGAACATTTTTAAACTTTAGAAATATAATTTTGTCCAGGTGACGGCAATCCAAAGAACCAAATTCATTATAAAAATTGTAAGGAACCCAAATGGACATATTTTGGTTCCATCTTAGTTTTACAATACAACAGTAACTTATTAGTATTTTATCTAAAAAAAATCTGAATCTGCAAAAAATTCTGATTGTCAGTTTTTACATCCTTAGCGTTTAATGTATGTTTTGCTGTCAAACATCCTGTAACTTATCAAAACAGATGTCTAATGTTAATTGTTCTGTGTAATATCCAGTGTTACTAATTCATGTATTAAATGTTTTTTTGTTTGCAACTAATTTGTTGTTTTTATTGTTTTTTTTTAAACATAGTTTAAAAAAGAAATCACCATTAAAAAAAAAAAGAAAAGGTTTTAGTAGAGGAGACAAAGCATAGAATACACCGGTGGAACCCTTCCTCTCTCCCCCCCCCCATTATTTTTTTTTGCATTTTACTAGAATAATAATATTGTAATTTCACTGGAGATCATAAAATAGTTTCTGTCTCACAGCAAAATCTCGACTCAGTCACAAATATAATCTCTTTTCAATGAATATTATTCCCGCAAGCTTTTATGCAGTAAAGTAATATTATGCTTTTGGAAGCTAATGGCTTTTTGTTTCTAAAACCTTGATCATTTGAAATACAAAAGGGCTCTTTAACTAGTTTCTTGTTCCGAGCTTCAAGTCATTTCTGTGAATACAATTTATACATTTCCAACATTTATTTGTTTCATTGTTGTATGCACACTATACCGAGCCAAATTACCCAGAATGCCCTATTTAAAGGAACACTATAGGGTCAGGAACACAAACATGTATTCCTGACCCTCTAGTACTAAACCCTCCATTTAGGTTGTTTGCCCCCCCCCCCCCTTAACTTCCTTAGAATGGGTTAAAACTAACCTTATTTTCAGCTCTCCAAGGATCTGCCGGCGCTGGCCCTGCCCCATGGGTATCATCAGAATTACCAATTTTTAGCCAATCCAATGGTTTCCCATGGGGAAAGCATTGGATTGGCTAAAATCGACAAGGAGGCAGGGGTCAATCAGCACCTTCTCATAGAGATGCATTGTATCAATGCATCTCTATGAGGAAAATTCAGCATGGAGATGCTGAAAGGCAGTGCTGCCTACTATGCAGAACTGAGCCAGGAAGCACCTCCAGTGGCCACTTGGAGGTGTCCTTAGGGGGCAATGTAAACACTGCCTTTTCTCTGAAAGGTCAGTGTTTGCATGAAAATGCAAAAATGCATGAAGGGAATGATTATACTCACCAGAAAAACTACATTAAGCTGCAGTTGTTCTGGTGACAATAGCGTCCCTTTAATCACTGAGGAGATCTGCTATTAAATGTGTCTTTATATGCGCAGGTCTCGTATAAATGGCGTCATTTGCAGGCTCCTGAATGTGTAGCTCGCTGCAAATGTATTATTAATAATTCTAACAACATTTCCAATGAGCAATTTGCTTATTTATTCTTTAAGGGGATTTGTGAGCATATATGTTTCATTCCTATGAATGATTCATACAAATTAGGCAGTTTAGGAAACACTGAAAATAGTTTTGAGGAGTTTACTGTTTTGGAGGTATTTTTACAAACCTTAACAAACATGGTGATAGATGGAGCGAATTTTAAATTACAGCATAGGGCGATGTTAAAGCATGACTTGGAGGATTTGTCCTGTACTGCCATTTGGGCCTAAGGTTTGAAATTTGCTTTAAAATTTGTGTTGAATTCTTGCCAATCCACACTTTTGTGAATAACACCTTGGAATACAGTCGCTAACCTTAGGATTCTAGTGAATTATAAACAGAACAACAAAAGTTAGACTAAAATAGCAGATCTGAAATATTATCCATCTGCCATATAGACATAGCCTTGTTATTTTTTTTTCTACGTTTTGCAATTCAGTTCTCGTTTCACTACAGCTCAGGGTTCAGTAACTAATCCACGATGTGACAAACTAATGCTAATGGCTTTTATGAGCTACTTTATATACCGTTTAACACTGCCTTAGTTTGGAATTAAAATTGTCACAGGCAAGTGTTTTTTATTGCTTGCTTCTACTTTCGCTTCGCTAATCCTGTTTTCATTCTTGAGTTATTTTTCTTTTTTCTTATATGTCCTTGTTCTAGTCATGTTACATAGTGTGATGGTTGTTAAAGTAGTGTTGTATTTGGATCAAACTTTGCCTATCCCCCAAAGCAGCTGCATGCCATATTTCATTTGAGAGATCACTGTGTGTGGGCCAAACTCCAGGGCTGGAGGGTGTATATAGAAACTCACAAACAAAAAAATACAATGATTCCAAATAAACATGCACCTCAACAACAAGAAGGGAATACAAATAAGAATTGATGGGAACAGGGGAAGGCAACAGGACAATAAATGGACAGTAGAAAGCAGTGCAGACAGACTGGAAAAAATACACCTGGAAGGCAGGTCACAACCAGCATAAGGAGTTTACAGGTAGAGCATAAGGAAACATTCGGTGATGATAAGAGGGATACAAACCCCAGAGAATACAAATCATACTGAAGAAATGAGGGAACTTAGAGTGGGGTCAAGTGGATGCTTAGAAAGAGGTCAAGACCTAGTGTGGAGGAAGATGATGATGGAGAATGCAATAAGGAGGGCAGTGGAGAGTACAGGGGGAACAAGGGAGTCTGTAGATAGGAATTAGAAGGAACCTGCAGGCTAATGTTACTAATGATCTTTAGCTTGTCATGTTATTATTATTATTATTATTATTGGTATTTATATAGCGCCAACTAATTACGCAGTGCTTTGCAATATTATAAAAGCGGGGGTGGATTTACAATACATGAGGCAATTACACAGTGACACAGGAACAATAGGTAGATGAGGACCCTGCTCAAACACACTTACAGATGAGGTGGGGTACAAATACACAACAGGGCAGCAAGGGTGACAGCCACCAAACAAGGTTGAAAAGTAGCATAACTGGGAGGTGAGAGTGGAGTATGGCTCTTTAGGAGAGCAAGAGACAGACTTGGGTAAGCATAGATAAGTTACTCTGGGGGTCCATAAGCATTTCTGAACAGATGTGCTTTGAGGGACTTCTTAAACAATTGGAGACTAGAGGAGAGTCTGACAGGGGTAGGCAGGCTGTTCCAAAAGAAAGGAACTGCCCGCGAGAAGTCCTGCAAGCGCAAGTTAACAGTAAGGGTGCGAGCAGCGGACAGGAAAAGGTCACCGGCAGAGCGGAGAAACTGAGAAGGGGCATATCTATGAATCAGGGAAGAAATGTAAGAGGGGCTAGAGTTGGTTAGAGCTTTATAGATAAGGGTTAGTATTTTGAATTGACACATAAGTGATACAGGAAGTCAGTGTAAAAATCGACAGAGGGGCGGGGTATGGGAGGAACGACGGTTGAGAAAGATCAGCTTGGTGGCAGGAGTCATTACCGCAGTTCGGCTTTTGGGGAGACCAACTAGGAGGGAATTACAGTAATCCATGCGAGAGATTACCAGAGCTTGAACACACTCCTTGGCAGCATCTTGCAAAGGGGCGGATGTTGGTGATATATTTAAGGTGGAATCGACAGGTTTTAGCAACATACTGGATATGTGGTGAAAAGGTGAGGCCAGGATCAAAGATAACACCAAGACAACGAGCTTCCAAGGATGGACTGATGCAAGCTGCAGGGAGAGCAAAGGAGGTGGATCAGCATTATGAGGGGGAAAAATAAGAAGCTCATGTGACACCAAACTCTGGGCTAATGTATTTACAGCTATTTTACTCCGTGATCCATTCAGCAACCAGTGAGTTGTAATATTTAATTATTAAGCTAGCAATTTTTTCAGGTTTGTTGTTTTGGACTAACTAAGTCAGTTCTCAAAAATCCCTCCAAAAAAAACCACTGTCTAAAGCAGGAGTGTCGAACCCGCAGACCATGGCCACATGCGACCCTGAACTGCTTGCAATGTGGCCCAGTTGCCAAGGTAGGGAGGCTGGATTGACCTCTTAATTACCAATGTGTGTGTATATGAATGTGATTTTTATGTGTGTATGCCAGTAATGATCTGTGTATGTGATTATCTGTATGTCTGTGATTGTGTGTATTGGTCTGTGATTGTGTGTATTGGTCTGTGATTGGTCTGTGATTGTGTGTATAAGTCTGTGATTGTATGGGTGTGTGTCTGTGATTGTACGTGTACATATGTGGGTCTATGATTGAGTTTTTGTACATCTGTGATTTTGTGTATGTGTGTGTATGTCTGATTGTGTGTGGGCATGTCTGTGAATGTGTATGTGTATAGGTCTGTGATTGTCTGTGTGTATAAATCTGTGATTGTATGTGTGCGTGTATATCTTTGCGTGTGTACATCTGTGGTTAAGTGTATATGTATATACATGTGTATGTGTTTAGTAGATAGGTCCCTAATTTGGAATCCTTAAATATGGCAATCTCACATAAGGATAACAAATAAGTTATCTACTAAACAAACGGCATATAAAAATTAGGAAAACGGCTTTTACATTTTCATTATATACATTTAAAAAGAAATTGTGTTTATGGTGCCAGGAGTGCCCTGGCGACCCCTAATACATAATGCATAATCAAACCACTAACAAATCGTGTCCACTTGGCTCAAGTTCTCCTCCATTGAGAGCTGGAAGCTCTCTACTCTGAGCAAGCCCAGTGGTGCAGGCTTAAATCATGAGCAGGAATGCTAAAGGAAGCTACACACAGTAGCCTTTGTTTCTAAATGGAGGAAGTGACTAGGGCCCAGTGAACACCAGGGAAATTGTCAAAGTGCTTTCCAGAAGATTAATGGTTTGATCCTTCAGCTCTGTTATCAAGCATAGGAGGCTGACTGGGCTACAGACATGGCTATCTTTAACGAGGGGCAAACGGGGGGCACACTAATGATACATATCACATGGCCCACATGGGGCCACCTGGTGGGCTTGTATCAGCAGGGGCCTTGTCGGTCAATGTGACCCTTTAACAGCGAGACAGGATCCTATTGCCTATCGGCAGCATGGGAGGACATGATAGCTCAAGTCACTTCCTCCCACAGAGAACACAGAGCCATGCGAGAGGGAGAAGGAGGCAGTGAGTAGGGGGACTGGAGAGCCAGCCCCTAACTCCCAACATTCATAGGCACACTGGACCCCAGGGAAGTCACCCTCCAGTAAAAGGTAAGAGACTAAAGGGTGGGTTTAAAAATTTAAATTTTGCATGTCTGTCAGTGCATGTATTTCTCTGTGTGTGTCAGTATGTCTGTCAATGTATGTGTCAGTATTTCTATCAGTGTATATAGCTGTGTGTGGGTGTCAGAAGGTCTATCAGTCTATGTATCTTTGTGTGTCAGTATGTCTGTCAGTGTATGTACCTGTGTGTCAGTATGTCAGACAGTATACATGTCTGTGTATCTGTATGTGTGTATCTGGATGTTGTCATTGTATGCATCTTTGTATCTATATGCCAGTATGTGTATCTGTGTGTGTATATGTATGTAGTCAGTGTGTATCTGTATGTGTGTCAGTGTTTGTATCTGGGTGTCTGTGTATCTGTATGTGTGTCAGTTTGTCTGTATATGTTTTGATGTGTCCGTATCTGCATCAGTCTGTGTGTCTGTATCTGCATGTGTGTCAGTGTGTGTATATGTGTCTGTATATTTGCATGTGTGTCTGTGTGTATATCTGTGCATCTGAATGTCTTTCAGTGTGTGTATGTGTATATATCTTTGTGTATCACAATATGTGTGTGTGGCCCCTGCTTATAAACTTCAACACTACATATTAACACACTCCTGCACTGAAACATCAAAACTACG